TACTATCCAATAATACATTCTTTCAAAAGAATGTGTCACAAACACACTCTTAGTAAACTTAGTTGGGCAAGTTATTTAAATTGCCTCAACTCATTATTTGTTATATTTATTTATTTATTTTTATGTCTATAAATGCCACATCAAGATTTATTTATTTATTATGAAATAAATTAATTAATAAATTTTGATTTTCAATTTTGATTTATTTTTTATTGTTATTTTTTAACGTGACCGTTATTCAATTATTTATTTATTTTACACAATTCCTAACTTATTTGAAAAAATATACTTTTTATGTTGTATGGTGAGTTGGGTTTAAGTGAAGCCACATACTTACCTATTTATATGAACAAATTATGATATTTAGAGAATAATAGGTTAAATTTGCAAACAAAATGTAAGATAAGATTATGTTTCTTTTCTCTCTTCTTTTGAAATATTCTTTTTTTTAAAAAGCATGAACAGTGCCGTATACTGTTCACGTGATAGTGTCATGCTCTGTTCACGTGAATAGTAACATTTTATTTTTTTTGAAAATCGCATGAACAGTACCATATACTGCTTACGTGATTAGTGTCTATACTATTCATGTGAATAGTTACATTTTTTTTAATATTCTTTTCTCTTGGTTTCTGCTTGGAATTCTGTCGCAGAAACTTATTTTCTTAGTTTTTTTTTCACCTTTTTTTAAGCAGAAACCAAAGAATTGGTTGTTATAAAATTGGAACAAACATTCTTCTTTTTTTATTTTCAGGAATTCAACGTTTGGAACAAACTAAAGATTTTGAGGTTTGAGATTTTTTGGTATAGAGTAAAATTTTGTACTGCAATTATTTTACAGGTTCAGAAAATATTTGCTCATGAACAAACTCAAAATCTCAAACTTTTTCATGCACATTGAAGACCAAGGACTGCCACCTTTTGCCATCTAAGGCACTTTGTGTTTAGGACTAAGAATCGACTCATTTAACCGCCCAATGCACTTTGTGTTTGGGACCAAGGAACGACTCATTCGATTGTCTAAGGCACTTTGTGTTTGAGATCAAAAACCGACTCTTTCAACCGTCCAAGATACTTTGTTTTGGAGATCACTCACATATTTGGGAGGTTCATGATTTAGATAATAAACGACTTTAAAAGATTTATCAACATTCACATCCTCAACTACTCCCCTAGGTCTAACAGTGGACCCTATCAGCTAATTGTAAAACCACAGATATAGGCTTCATCTCACCCAAAACTAACAACAAGTAAATAGCATAAGGCATGAGATTGACACTAGCCCCCAAATCAAGAA